GTGAAGGGAGGGCTAGGGATGGGGAGAAAATAAGAACCAAGATGCATTATGTAAAGGTACAATTCCCAATGAGAAATGTAATTGTGTTGTATACCTACAATGTACCAATAAAAGAATTTAAGGAAGAAAAAAAGAGACAGTAGATGCCATAAGGCTCATGTCTTCTCAGGAGCGTTTGGGGGAAGAAAGGAAAGCAAACTGGGCGACTTGCAGTCATGGAGGCCTTGAGTGGAGAGAAGCCCACGGTGGAGGGGTTTGGAGAGGCAGCGCCACACCCTTCCCAGGCTGCATGCCAAGGGCAAACTCTGCTTTATTAGGGTTCAGGGTCTTGGGAGTGGGTTGCATCGGTACAGCTAGCTCAGGGTGGGGCATGTGGAAGTCTGCATGGTGATTACTAAGTCACAGAGCAGGAAGGGTGTATTAGTTATCTATTGCCATACATCAGTGTAACTGCAGACAGCAGCTTGTGGCATACCCATCAGTCTTGTCACAGTCTGTGGCTGGCCGGGTCCTCTTTCTGGGTCTCACAAGGCCACCATGGCCATGTGGGCCGGGCTGATCTCACCTGAGACTGGGCTGGGAGGTACAGTGTCTTCGTCCAAGCTTGTGTGGCTGCTGGCAGGATTCAGTTCCCCATGGGCTGTCAGACCGGGCCTCATTTCTTTGCCAGCTGTTGGCTGATGGAGTGAGTGGTCCCCTCTGCATGGCCGGGGCAGGGACAGCGGAGCACTTGCAGTCTTGCTCACCAGCCTGGAAGTGCCGTCGGTCTCCTCTGCCCTGTTGTGTGGGTTGGAAGGAGGTTAGAGGGGCCACTCGCACTCGGGGGAGGGAACTACACAGTGGGTGGGGACCAGGAGGCAGGACACACAGGAAAACCCCAGGGTCTGTCTGCAGCAGAGGATTCCCCCACGTGGCGCATATCCTGGAGCACAGGGCCCTGCCGCAGGGCAGCCCCAAGGTTAGCTCTCCTGTACCCGAGTCCCGCCTCCCCGAAGACGCTGCTGCCAGTCTTGGCTCTATCCCTGCAGCAGCTCAAAATGTGTCCTATACATTTTCACAGGACAGCCCTGCCTGGATTTGGTGGCAGCTCTTATGACCCTGTAAGCCAACTCTTGTAGAAACTTTTTTTACACTTTTAACCACCTATTTGTAGTACATAATGATTATTTCTATCATGGGGAGTTGGCACTTGTACATAACACATCTCAATTCTTCTCACATCCTTGTCCCCTCCTGTCCCTCCCCTCTCCATCTCCTATTCTCCTTCCTTCCTGCAGAGAATCTATCTCCCTTTGTCCTATTAGCTATCTTTTATTTTGCTCTTTAAATTATTTATCCTTTGGGTGTCTCACATGAGAGAAACCATGTGCTATTTAAACTTGTGGGTCTGGTTTATTTCACTTAACATGATGGTCCCAAGTTGCATTTCTACAAATGCCTCAAGTTTATCTTTCTTTAAGACAGAGTAGTACTCCACTGTGTGTAAATACCACCTTTATCCATTCATCTGTTGATGGACGCACAGGCTGCTTCCAAGATTTGGCTATTATGAACTGTGCTGCTATAAACATGAGTATGCATGGATCCCTGTAAGATGATGTCTTTAACTCTCTGGGGAAGACGTGTAGAAGGAGAGTAGCTGGGTTAAATGGAGCTTCTAGTTTTAGTTCTTTCAGAATCTCCATACAGACTTCCATAGTGGCTGTGCTAGCTTACATTCTCACTGATGTAGAAGGGCTCCTTTTCCCCTGGAGCCTGACCAGCATTTGTTATTATCTGATTTCTCAACGATGGCCATTCTTTCTGGAGGAAGATGAGTCTCAGTGCTGTTTTAATTTGCATTTCTCTAATGGCCAGAGATGTTCGACATTTTTTCGTGTGCTAGTTCACCCCATGGAAGCAGGAAGCGGTGGTGGTTGCCGGGGCTGAGGGAGGGAGAAGTGGGAGTTGCTGTTCCCTGGAAACAGTCTCAGTTAGCAGGGGGTGGAGTTCTAGAGACCAGTTGCAGGGCGATGCCAAGGTAGTAAACACTAGTTAACTGTGTACTGAAAAATGGTTAAGATAGCGAATTTTTTTTTTGGTACCAGGGATCGAACTCGGGTCCTTGCACTTGCTAACCACTGAGCTAAATCCCCCCCCCAAGATAGCAAATTTTATGTTATGTGGTTTATTAAATTTCTTAAGTTTTATTAGGACATTAAAATGTGTGTTGGCGGGGTTCTGTATAAATCTGGGCTATTTGCTACTGGTCAAAAAGTACAAACTGAAAGTTAAGTAAGAGGCTACAGTCTTTCATGGACTCCTAAGATGCCATTCATTGTGAGATGCATCATTATTGTTAAGAGACATTAGGAAGAAAGATGCTTCTAAGTAAACGAAAGCACGCCCTTGATTGTAATACACATCCATCCCTATTTCGGGTACTTTACACTGAGAAATGTGTGTCTTAAAATTGGTGAAATAGGGTAAGTTGTATTTGTCATTAGCAAAACTAAGAAGGCTGAAAAATTATATTTATTAGGCCGAGGATTTAGCTTAGTGGCACCACGCCTGCCTGACAAGCTCAAGGTCCTGAGTTTGATTCCCCGTACCAAAAAAAATATATATATATATATAATTATTGACAGAGTCTGATTCACATTCTCACAGGAGATGAACTAAATTGACTCAGCCTCTCTGAAAGCCAGTCAGCAAGATGTAGCAAGATCCCAAAATATTTATGACCTGAACCCTCGACTTCTGCTTCCATCTTGGTGAATCATCAGAAACAGAAATCCATGTGCGTAGAAGTTCTCAAAGTCTGTGCACTAAATAGAATTAATGATAAGAAAATGAAGATGACCAATCCCATTGCTGTAGTGGGCATGTAGTTAAATAATTTATGGTGGACTTACATAATGGAATGGTCAAAATAGTGGTCAAAATAACATATGTATTACGTATTTTCACTAAGTGAGTGAATCCAACGAAGTATATTCAAAAAAGAAAGCTGCCAAGCTTGACTAGAGCTCATGTCTTCATGGGTGAACTTTGAAAGATTTTTTTTGTTGTTGGTATTTTCTATAATGGTCAAATTTTACTTTGTTAATTAGAAATATACTCTTTTAAAAGTAAAGGCAGGGCCGGGGATTTGGCTCAGTGGTTTCGCCTGCTGCACAAGCGCAAGGACCTGAGTTCGATCCCTGGTACCAAAAAAAAAAAAAAGTAAAGGCAAATGGCAACAAAATATTATCAGTTTTCCTCTAAAATCTCTCAATTGCTTGATCTATATGAAGAGGCAGATAAGTAATGATATGACATTATTTCCCTGTCCAACACCCTTGAGAGGTACATGTAAAGAGTGCAGTGGCAAAAACAGGTCTCTGTCTCATTTTCTACTTCAAAAGTTAAATTGGCATCTAAAGATTCAGCCCTGGGTGTTCCAAACTGAACGTGACATTAGCAATGCACAGCAGTTTTGACTCAACCCCACTTACCTGAGTAAACTTCTACCTACTGCAACTCATGCTCCATTTACCCAGCAGCCCCCAGAAACCACCAGCCAGGGACTCAGCACTGGTGAAGGCTGTTGTTCCTGTACTGAAGTGTTGATAACCAACACCGTGTAAAGATAAAATGACCTGTTTTCATGCTTTTAATTTTTCAGTTTGACTTGGTCGTTTATATGTGCTCAGCTGAAGTGAAAGTTGTTGCAGTTTCTCAGCAGTGTAGCTGGAGTGGTATAAAGGGAATGAATAGCTTGTCTATTGTATATCCATGTGACTCTCTTCAATATGATTTTTCCCAAAGTGTGTGTCCTCTACATATTACATGTTCTATCGAAATTTTACACCGTTAAGAAATATATGGATTCAATTTTTAGAAGAATTTTATCTGCTGTTCACTCTCTGTTGACCATAAAAAATCCATTACCCTTAATCTAAGACATGTGTTCAATTGAATAGATTTTCCACT